CTGTGAGAAACCAGGGTTATGCCGCGGTCTTCATACTGATGTGATGCGTAAAGTCACGTCGCTTAGAAATGTTGAAGTACAGGTTATTGTGGGGATGCTTCCTGGATCTGGGCTCTACTTGGAATTTTAGATGTATAAATGCATAATCTTTTGTTTGTGAAAGCCGTGTATTCTTTCAGTTTTCTCACACATTTAGCTGTTTGTTTGGAATGCAGTATGATTCGTTTGCTTATTTTTTTTTTTTTTCTTTTTTTTTTTTTCCTTTGGAATCTGTAGGATTATAATCCAGATACTTTTCTTCATACTCGTGGGAGAGATACTTTGCCTGGTCCGTTAGGACCATAAAGAAGATGTACATCAAGTCAATTGTTCTGGAAGGATTTAAATCCTATGCTCAAAGGACAGAAATTCGTGATTTTGACCCATTATTCAATGCCATTACTGGCTTGAATGGTAGTGGCAAGTCCAATATCTTGGACTCAATCTGTTTCCTGCTGGGAATCTCCAATCTGTCACAGGTAAAGGGAGAAGGGGCATGTAAGAAAGGTCCTTCTGTCAGCAACATTTCGTATTGCTCGCTTGGGTAATCTCTGATGTAAGACCTGAGGTGGTACTTCTATTAAAAAAAAAATAGTTCTATTTATTTGGATTTTTCATTACATAAAACTCTGTTCTCCGTCGTTTTTGCTCGTTCTTACATTAAGATTGAATTACAATTTCATCGATATACTACAGTAGCTCAAAGTATGCAGCTTAAAATATTGGGCTATAAATATCCACTTAAAAGGTAGCAGCCTCAAGCTGAAGATCTTTTGCAGCCAAAGGCACTAACATGTTTAATCGTAATAAACTTTTTCACTTCTGGATTGGTTCTTAAAATTTGGCCAACTGCTTCATCAGAAAAATAATTAAAAGCTGGTTTTCATGCAATGCCTGCTATTTAAAAGACGATACATCACTTTACTCTTGAGAAAAAAAAAATTGTATGCTCTGAGATAAATTTGAATCTCTGTCTTCAGGTGACTTTGTTGTTCGCCCACCTCCCGTAATAGTAGACAAATGCAGCACACCTCCAAGGAACACTGTGATGCATTTTCCTGTGAACTGCATTATGAATAGTAAATATCTTTAAGTAAACGTACTGGTGCCTGAACTAGTCATCTGGCTTTTGTTTTTTTAAAACATCTGTTCAGTTTTTGTCAGGAGTTTCATGCAAAAATAATTAGCTAGCTTGCTAAAACTCGACTGGCACACATTGCCTGTGGCTTTACAACGTTAGCACCTTGCAGCTCCCATATGTCTCTCTCTCACAAAACCTCAAATCTACAGCTAGATCTGCATTTTTTTGGTCATTTCTCAAAAACCTTCCATTGCGCATTGAAGCTATGTAATGAATTTCTTTCAAAAATGTATTCATCTGTTCCATGGATTTAGGTGCGAGCTTCCAACTTGCAAGACCTTGTTTATAAAAATGGGCAAGCTGGAGTTACTAAAGCAACTGTGTCTATTACCTTCGATAATTCTGACAAGAAACTAAGTCCACTGGGATTTGAAGCTAATGATGAGATCACTATCACTAGGCAGGTGAGTCTTTAATATCGGTGTTTCTCAGTAACATATATACATTTCCACCATGCTCAACAGAGTGACTTTTCATGAAAAAAAAAGGTAATTTTTTAAAGTCCCTGAATTTCTGTGATTGAGGCAATGCTTCTACAGTGTAGTTAGTAACACAAACTGTAGAAGTAGATCCAGTGTACTGGATCAAAAAAAGTTGGAATTACTTGGGAAATTAGTATAATGTTGTTAGATGTATTATATCAGTAGTGTTTTCTATGGACTTGCACAGAAACATAATAATAATGAAATGATTTTCCGAAAGCAAGTTAAATTTTTCTATTATTTTGTAGCTTTTTTCTTCCACTTTCATATTTTCCTTTTAATATCTGAACTGTGTGTTAAATTTGGTCTCCAAGAAAAAAGGAACCTGTATGATTCTAATGAAGATGTGTCCAAAGTTTTGTTGTTTGTTTGTTTGTTTCTTAAAAAAAGTGAAAACTTGTGGAGTTTGGAAATTTTCATGTCAATATTGCCCTCAATGATTGATCTTTCTTGTATTTGTCTCTTTGGTCCAACAAGATCTGTTTTGATGTTCTCTATAGTATGCATATGTATGTATATGCAAAGATATATATATATATGTATGAGATTTGCTGAGATTTTTTTATTCTGTATTACGGTTTATATTCACATAATGTCAAGTCATTTTTGAATCACTTAATTTCTTCCATTTCTTTTTCTTCTCCAGGTTGTCATTGGAGGTAGAAATAAATATCTTATCAATGGTGTGAATGCTGCCAACAGTCGCGTGCAGGATCTCTTTTGTTCCGTTGGACTCAATGTCAATAACCCCCACTTCCTCATTATGCAGGTATTGTGTGCATCTTTATAAAATCCAGACCCTTATCAACGTCAACACAGGGAACAAAGAAATCCCTGAAATATTTGCAAGGAATAATAAAACTGAGCAGGATTTACTGTTTCAAATGGAACTGTCCCAGCTTGTGGGGGAGCGGGGGAAGGGCAGTTTTTCACCTATTTAGCTTCTCCCTAGTTACATGTAAGCTAAACCTCCAAAAAGCCAATTTATGTTAAGGGCTTATTCAACATTCGCAACTCAGTAAGACTCTAGAGCAAAATATGCACATTAGAATCATAGAATGGTTAGGGTTGGAAGGGACCTCAAAGATCATCTAGTTCCA